ACACTCTGCGTAGCTTCTCTGGCAAGGTCCACTGCTACTGCAACAGTCTGAACCTCACCAGTCACACATTGACTCTGCCTTCCACCTGGAATACCTTGCAACACATGTCTCCATGCGAGATGAACCGTTGCTACAGATAGCTGATCCCATGCCTCCACCAAAAAGTCCACAGCTTTCTTGACGTTGAATTTTCTCCAAAAGTGTTTCACAAGTACTTCTTGCTCTGCCAACTGTTGTTCCTCGTCCTCTTCGGTCTTGCTATCGGTGTCACCCAGGTTACGCAACTCATCCTCGGTGTTGGTATAGTCGTTCAGGAGCTTAAACTTCTTTGCAGAGAATGCAGCTTTCACATTGCAGATTAATTCTTGGTCCATGGGCTGGATTAATGACGTAGTGTTGGGAGGAAGGAAGACCACTTTTACGTTGGGGTGACGATCCAACAGTAGGGGCGAGTGTCCTGGTGCGTTGTCAAGCAGCAACAAAATCTTGAATGGAACATTGTGTTGCTCACAGAATTTCTTCACGTCGGGAACGAAACAGTCATCAAACCAGGAGAGGGACATAGTAGAGAACATCCACGCCTTACGTACGGTCAGCCAGTGGACATTTAGCTTGGTCATGTCCATGTTCTTGTAGGCGTGCGGCTTGCGTGCTGTGTGGATCACCGATAACTTGACCTTACAGGTACCGGAGGCATTGGTGGTAAACAGGACGGTGATGCGCTCCTTCTGCAACTTCCGGCCCCGAATCCTGCTGGCAGACTTGACAACAAAGGTCTTGGAAGGTAGTTTTTTCCAAAAAAGACCAGATTCGTTCATGTTGAACACCTGGTCGTCGGTGTTCTGTCCTTCCTCCATAATCTCACGTAAAAACAGAGGAAGATCCCTAGCCGCAACACGGTCATCACTAGCTCCTTCACCACCAATGTTAATGTTGGTGATCTTTTTCCTCTTCTTAAACCTCTGCAACCACCCAGGGGAAGCATTAAAGGGTTTGGGCTCTGCAATTCCCATCTTATGTGACACTGCTGCATACAGTTCACGTGCGTACTCCTTAACTGAGCGCGTGTCCACCTCCATGTTCCGTCTTGCCTGACGAATCAAGTAGCTCACAAGTAATTTCTCCGTCTTGAGAAGCACCTGGTTGTGGCAATTCTTGATCATAGAAGCACCTGTAGACTTTGTGATGTTCATGTGTTCTTTTATCTTGGCTGCATCCTTCTTGATTGTCCGGATCGTAGATTCGTTCACACCATGCTGGCGCGCCAAATCAACCTGTCTTGTTCCTTTCTCCAACTCTTGGATGATCTTGTATTTAATTTCGTAGCTTAGGGCACATCGTATCTTCTTTGGCTTAGGGCGGCTGGGTCCAGGTAATGCAAGGTTTCTTTGTGGTGGTGGTGGTGGTCCGGTGGCAGCCATTCTTATGGAACAATAGATACCGATATACACGGTGTAGCCGGGACGGGTGTAACTGACGCGGGTAGGTCAACGGGCTTCAACGCTCCCGCGGCGGGGCACGTCATAGTACTACATTAAACCAATCACAGCTAGCAGGGAGGGTGGTAAGGATGCTTGGCCCAATCACAGTCCGATACGTCATATGACATTACCGATAACGCAACAAAGACATACACTGCGCAACCTACTCGCTCTGCTTACCCAACATGGCGGGATGGCGGGAGAGATGGCAGGAGGTTTGAATCCAAAAATGGCTCGGTGCGAGATGACCGCCAACCTCTCTTCGCATAAAAGAGTACACTCACCGCGTAAAGTGAGCATTCTGGGTCTGGCAGGGTACCGCGTAAACGTGGAAACGCGTAAAAAAACCGCGTAAAGCGGGGTAATACTGTATTATTCTTCCACATGTGAGGTCTGCATGGGCGTTTATGGCCCTGTGATGGCTCACCCTCGGGTTCATTCACCTCACTTTCACTCACAAGAGAGTGCTGGGTCATCCACATACTGCAGACTGTGATAGAGGAAACCTTGCTGAAACTTGAACTAGGCCTACATCTATAGGCCTGATCGTTTATATTATATTGGGTTTTAGTAACGAAACCCAATTGTCTGTTTCTCCTTTTATTGAGGAACTGTTGTTTATACAATTCCCGAGTGTAAATCAACCGTAGCTTTCACTATTTATGAGTGTGAAGAGAAGGATGGGGGCTATGTAAATAGACCGTTTAATCATGTCCTTCTGATGTGAGAGTTTGAGTGGGACTTCTATGAGTAGTGACCCGTCGAGGGAGAACGGAATAGGCACGTCGTCCTCCCTCGAGGGAAGACGGAACCATCCACGATGGCTCTCAAATAACGTCTTCCTCTAGTCTAGGATATCAAACTACTGCCCGCTTTAGGTGGCCAGGGAGCCGGCTACTTAATGCCTTAACTCAGCATAATATGACTCAGCTTCCCGTGGGCACACCTTATCACGTGCACTGAACATGTCACCTCATAGCTAGTGGAAAGTTACAGGGGGTGAATCAGTATATAAATCAAATGTAATTATAGTAGAAGTCCAAAAATCCGGACTGCTCAGGGATTGGGTCAGTCCGGATTTTCGGATTTAACGGATTCTCGGGCAGTACTTTTAAAATTCAAATTTAAGGAGGAATAAAGAAGAGATGAACAGGTACATTTTGATAGTTTATTCATTAGCAAATACAGCATGCTTCATTTATCAAAACGAGCAGTTTTAAAGAAAAATAAAGTCAACACTTGACAAAAATGTAAACAAAAATTTTTCACTACGAAAAAAGGGGCGTGTAATGCTTGAAATCATGTTTAAAAATGAACATTGTAAAAGAAAAATACAATAAACAAATGAAAGCAGAATTTATTTTATACATATTGATTATTTATTTGTAGTTTATTAACGAAACATTTTCCTATAAATACAAAGTACTAAATAACAAATAAATATTTATTTGTTGATTTCCACGACTTCTATATCGTCTGCTGCACTGCTTGTGGATGGAACACTTGCTGCATCTGCTGCACTGCTTGACACTGCTTTCTTTAAATACCTTCGTATATCACCTTGTTTACGACTTTGTAATTTCTTTGTGATAAGATTATTCTGCACCATGTGTGCATGCATGACGTCTTGAAGACTGAAGCTATGGTTCTGTTCCACAAATTTAATAATCGTTTCAATGCACTTTTCTGCAGTAGCCCAAGATATATTTTCTTCAACTTTGTCATCTTCTTCACCAGATTCTTCTGAACAATTCTCTTCTATCTTCTCAGGAGTTGTAATGCTTTGAATGATTTCTTGATCAGTGAAAGTGTATCCACTCTTCTATGTCAGCAGCATTAAGCTTGCGTAGAGGGTTGTCTTCCAGAGATAATTTAAGTCTCCATCAGTTCTTGCACTTCAGATGCCCTCTGCTTTATGTGGAATCCTTCAAAATCTTTGTCTTGATCACACTCTAGATCTGCAAACATCAAATTCGGCCACAACTTTTGCCACGCTCTTAAAAGTGTTTCAGGCTTGACTGCTTTCCATGCAGTCACGAGTGAAAATATTGCATCCTTGATTGTAAAACTGCGTTGAAATTCTGTAGGGTTGACATTCTTATTCATCTTTTTGTCATAAAATCATTTTTATAGTGACATTTAAAGTTTCGAATGACTCCATGGGTTGATTCAATGATGTTTCGTTTGGTGGCAAGTAACATGCATAAATATTCCCGCAATCAGACACTAATTTTGATTCATGCAGGTGGGCCCTACAGTTGTCGAGAAGTAGCAGGCACTTTGTATTTGCAGGCTTTCCCAATTTCTTTAAGTTCTGACGAACTGATGGAACAAAATCGTGAACAAACCAATCACGAAATATGTCTTTGTCCACCCAAGCACTCTTTTGGGCTTCATAGGTCACAGGCAAGTGCACAATCCCTTTAAAGGCCCATGGGTGTTTAAATTTGCCAATCACCAGAAGCTTAATTTTATGCTGACCTGAAGCATTAGCACATACAAGAATGGTTAATCTTTCCTTATTAAGCTTAAACCCTGTTGCATTTCGTTCTTGGTTTCCAGCCAAAGTTTTTGTGGGCAAACACTTCCAGTAAATCCCTGTTTCATCAGCATTATAAATTTGATCAGCTGTGAGGTCATAGTCATGTACAATTTTTTCAAATGTAGCATTATATTTTGTTGCTGCTTGTGTATCAGCCGACTGTCTTTCTCCAGCAATATTTAACTGTCTAATACCATGACGAGTCTTGAAATTCCTAAGCCATCCATCACTAAATGCTCACTCTGATTCAATGTTCATTTGCTCCTTAAAAGACTCTGCTTTGGCAATAGGCATCGGCCCAGAAATTGACATAGTACCTTCTGATCGTTTTAACAAAAACCATTCGTGCAACACTTTATCAAGATTTTCTTATTTGGGCTGATGTAAACTTTTCTTTCAGCAATTTTATTGTAAGGCTCACAAGAAGTTGTGAATTCTAGAATTTTATTCTTTGCCTTTTTTATATCATAAATTGTTGACTTTCCAATGTCGTATGTTTCCATTAGAACAGCATTGCTCACACCACGTTCTATTTTCTTAATTATTTCAAGTTTGTCACTCAATTTCAATGTGTTCTTCTTTCTCTTCACACAACGAAGTTTATCTACTTTAGGAGCCATTATTATGGGCTTGTAAATGGAAAGAGTAGGACTCAAAATTACATACGTTGTCACAGTTTGATTGCTTGTTTTAAAGTGGCGATCGCGTGGTCGCTTGTTGTAGCTGTGGCATTCACGCATGCACACATACACACAAAAGATTTATAGTGCCTCAAATTTTACATTTCAGGACAAGCTAATTACAAAACTAATAAAATTAGCTACCTATAATTTACAATTACTTTTATTATTAGAATTATGTAAATAAATTTTCTTAAAGCAACTCCATTCATTCATGTAACCCATAAAAGCCCGCTAAATTTAAAAAGTTTGAAAGTTTTCGAAAAGTCCGGATTCTCGGGTGGTCCGGATTTCTGGCATCCGGATTTTTGGACTTTTACTGTATATAATTCTTCTGTTTATGAAACAGGGGCCATTACAAACTTGCTGTGGTGGTAACTCAATTTCGGGTGCAGTGGCGCTTGTACCCTTACTATGGTGGTGACCTCAGTTGTTGACAACCAGACTAATGTCTGATTCATGTTTTTTTTATTGTTAATGTAATAGTCTTTTAATAATGTTGTTATACATTTAAAGACCTTAGTGTTATCTTCCCCTCCCCCATATATTCACTTTTTTCGGACTCAAATTTTTCAGATTGGGGTCTGCCCCAATAAGTCCGATTTATCGAGGTTCTACTGTAATTTGTTTACAGTACCTGTATTTGGGTTATCAAGTGTTACAATTTATTATTATCCTCAAATAAAAGTATGTTATTCTAAATAATTTAATTTCAGCTACGTGGCCTTGTACTCATACCGAGGACGGAAGGCTGACGAGTTAGAGTTAAGGAAAGGTTACATTTACACTGTGACAGAGAAGTGCCAGGATGGCTGGTACAAGGGGCGCTGTATTACTACTGACAGAACTGGTGTCTTCCCAGGCAATTATGTTCAAGTTGCCAAGTGAGTAACAATTTTAATATTTCTTATTAACATGTTTTATTTAATTACCTTACAGTGTATTGTTAATATTCTATCCTTTTGTTGATTTTGTAAAAAGTTTTAAGAAATTTCTTGTAGCAGTGAATTTATGTACACAGTTTTGTTGCCTCAAAGAATATTACATTTGGCGGCATCACTACTTACTTTGGCTATCGGGAGGTTTTCTGTAATGTTCAAACCTGGACAACATAGACCAAGTCTCAGGAGGAGTGTTAAAATGTGTATACTGCTGCACCTAGCCTTCCAGCACTGCAGTGAGTCCATACAACATTTCACAGTGGTCAGGGATATCTGGTAAATCCATATTAGCCTGACCACCTGGCAATGACCCAAGTACCATCTGGATATTGAGGACCATCTGTCTGATAAGAGAGATTCTATACATCCCCCTGCAGAGCCAGATCTCGAACCAACCTTGTTGTCTCCCTGCCATCGGGGAAACAAACGTGAACATATTGAGGATTTGCTTCAAGGAGCTTCACCTCCCCAATGACAGAGTCATGTCTGAACTGTCTGATGTTACATTTCAGAAGAATATGTCCCAGCAATAATAGCTAGGTTGGAATCGTGCAGCCACTCATCCATCAACATTCGTATTTTTAGTTGCAGTTAAGAGCAGACATGGGGTTGAAATTAAACCTCTGGCTTCAAAATCAAAGCCATTGGAAAGTCGCAAAGTCAAACAAGAAGCCAACTATTTAAAAAGTCATGAAGCCAAAGCCAAAGCCAAGGCTTTACAAGCAGGCTGTGCTAATTATTTGGAACATTTTCATGAAAAAACTTTTGTGGACAGTCTTGTAAGGCAAAAGCCAACAAACTGGGCTATCGGCAGTCCATTGCAACTCTCCCTCTCCCCAGTCATTGCAACACTTGCACCACTGGATCAGGAAAAGGGGAAGCCAAGATGTGTGGTTGCAGCCTGCGCTCCTGCCTCACCACATAAATCAACTCACGTGCAGCCATCATCCAGCTCAACATATCTCTCATCGTCATCAAAACCCCTATACCCCAAAAGTCCTATGGCGATGGACGAGTGGCAATGGGGACAGGCAGTGATGACTGCCAAGAGTCTGTAGTCATAACTCTGTACATGCGCGGCACAGATAAGATGGTCGCTTATGCACTGGGATTTAAGCAGCAGTGCAATCCAGTCCTGTCTGTGTGACTGAGCAGCCCTTTCGAGGAGCCACTTTGCTCACCCCTCATGGGGAGGGGGCTAGAAAAGGTACCCTAAACCAGTGTTCCCCAACCTTTTCAACACTGGGTCACAGTTCTCATCACCTCTAAATCCTTTGGTCACATATAAAGTTGTCATCATAAAAAGGATACATTTAATAGGAAAATCATACAGTAGCTCTGTATGAGTGTACACTACAAGTATAATACAATAAGTTGCATTTATCCAGAGAAATTTATCATGACATTTACACTTATAGTACAAAGTACAAAATAATAAACACTTACACATACAATTCATTTGTGTAGCCACGCGTCAACACAAGCTACATATGGCATTGGATTCTTTCAGTGTGATTTTTGTTACTGGATAGCTGCAGCAAGCAAGTTGAATCGTGAGGCAATATTTCTTGTCGCTGTCAGTCTCATGCACTCAAACAACATCTCTCCGAGCCTCTGCCTTTTTTTTTTTTGCTCTTGATGGTGAGCAGATCTGAGAACCCTCTCTCAGAGGAGTAAGTGCTGTGGAATGCCACCAGAACTTGGAGTGCTTTACCATCAATCATATCAGATGCTTCTTTCTGGCTCACTGCTACCCAAAAAAGTCCTTCATTTCTGAGTCACAGCGGAGTTTGGTCAGTGTGTCTTTTTCTTGAGTGGGCAGATTGCTGTCGTTCAAGTTTCAGATAAGGAATTGGTTTTTTATCCAACTATTCTTCTTCTTTTCTTCCTCATTTGCAGGAGGAAAATAGTGGTTAAAATTCTGCTGGAGAACAGTGAGATGTTGGGACACAACTATCATCATTGTGTCATCAATTACTTCATCCTTGGACTCTGCAATCACTTGCCCAAGCTCATCAAAATTTGAAAAGTCCCTTCTCTCAACTCTTTTCTTCCACCCTGAAATTTTCAAATTGAATGCCTCAATTTTGTCATTGGAAGTGAACACATCTTGACCTGGCCCTGGACCTGGCTCTTGCATGAAACAGAGTGCATGCGGTGAGTCACTTTCTTGCAAAAAGCCAAGAACTGCCTTCCTTAGTTGAAAGAATCTCAACAATGCAACTCCTCTTGATAGCCATCGCACTTCGCTGTGAAACAGCAGGATCTTCCCAGTCTCCCCCATCCCATCGCAGAAGTCATGGAACATGCAAGATTTCTTAGCTTTGCTCTTGATATCATTGATGATAATGATACATTTTTCATTACTGCATCCAGATGTCCTCCCTCTTTTTTTTTTACCTAATTTTTGCTCTTATTTGACTTTTATATATATGCTACTACATTATGTGTGTGGTCGGGGGGGGGAGGGGGAGGGCCAAAGCTTGGGGGCCCCTAGGCACGTGCCTCATGTGCCCATTGGGAAATCTGCCACTGCACAGGATATAACAAGATTGACTTGTTCACTGATTTTTGTGGGTCACAATGTCAATCACAGCACCTGGTCACACTAGTCTGTTGGGCCACACTAGGAGGTGGTCTGGGTCACAGGGTTGGGGAACACTGCCCTCAACATTGCTTGACTAAAAAAAAAAACCTGACTGGGCTACCTAACCCAGTAAGGTCATCCTTATGCGGTTGAAAGCACAATCAAAATCACGAATCACTGCATGGAATGTCAGGATCCTTCTGGATACTGACACAAATGAACATCCTGAAAGAAGAACTGCCCTTACGGCAAAAGAGCTGGCTAGGCATAACATCGACATAGCAGCCATTAGTGAGCCCGGCTCCCAGACGAGGAGCGACTTACAGAATGGGGGTCTGGCTATATCTTCTTCTGGAAGGGTAAGCCTACTGCGGAGAGAAACCGCATTTATGGAGTTGCATCCTACATAGGCTAACTGAAATGCCTGTCCGAGTCCCACTGATTCACTCACGTCATGTCTTCTTTATGAGTGCACACCCCAACACTGGATACAGAGGATAACATCAAGGAGGCCTTTTATGCTGACCTTGACAGAGTGCTAACCTCTATCCTCAGAGAAGATAAGGTTGTGCTCCTTGGTGACTTCAATGCCAGAGTTGGCAGAGATGCTGATTTGGCAGGGAATCATATGGAGAAATGGACTAGGCAAGTGTAATCCCAGTGGCCTACTCTTCAGCATGTGTGCTGCACACAACCTCACTATCACCAATACCTTGTTTAGGCAGGCTGACAAGTTCAAAGGTTCGTGGCAACACCCATGATCCAAACACTGGCATCTCATTGACTACATTATTGTCAGAGAAAGAGATCGCCGAGATGTCCTCATCAACTGAGCCATTTGTGGCTCAGACCACTGCAACACTGATCATTGGCTCGTCTGGGCCAAGCTCTCACTTCACGTCGCCCCAAAACGGTGAAGGCAACAAGCCCCCAGAAGAGGTTTTAACACTAAGCATCTGGAAGATCCAGCGGTAAGCACATTTATACCTTAAAAAAAATAAAATAAAATATTAATAAATATTGCTGATACCTGAGTCAATAAAATCAGTTCTAATTTAGTTAGACACACCATTTTTTACCCAAATAATCCTAAATACATTAACTAAAAATTTTGTGAAATAAATACAACGTATTATGGCATATAAGACGCACCCCCCATTTTAGCAGGGAGTACAGTATTTAGGAAACTTAATTGGGACAAAGAAAAAATCTATATGCATTACAGCTACTCCCCGACTTACGACCTACTCGAGGTACAACCACCCGGACATACGACTGCCTCAGTCATACCAAAATTTTGTCAAATTAATTATTTTCGAGTCCCAACGTCACTGATTGCGCTGTGTACTGACAAAATTTTCGCTTGTAATTCACTTTAAAATGACTGGCAGGCTTAAAAGTGAGAGTTTTGTGGTGCTGAGAAGAAAAAGAGACATCCATTTTAGATTTTCTATGTATCATTTAAGCATTTTTTACTTAAGACCTGGATTTGGGTCCGTAACCCATCATAAGTCGGGGGGAGCTATGTTTGTGTGTGTATATACAGTAATACCTCGATTTACGCAGGTTTCGTTTACGCATTTTGTCATTTACGCGGTACCTTGCCAGAACTGGGATACCCGATTTACGCGGTGAATTTACTCATTTACGCGGGTGAAGTATAATTTGTTTATTTACTGAAGATATTTTTTTTAACTCATAAAATTCTTACAAATTACCCAGCCAGAATATAATTTACATTGCTGAAATTCTTATAAGATTGTGATTATTTTAAATATAAACATCATGGAATTTGCATTAGACATACAAATTTTAGATGTAATGTAAGAATTTTTATTACAAAGAGCCAAAATTTTATCTTTTGTGCAAAATATATGACGTTTATATTCAAATTATTCCTGGTCTTGCAAGGAATCCAGCAATGTCAATTATATTATCCTTACTTCAGTCTGAGGTATTATTTATTACTATACCTTAAAATCTAGGGTTTTCACCCAAACATTTCTCAGAGAGGGAGGAGCCAGCTAGCGTGGGAAGGTGGTGGGGGGAGTTGACTCCATTATTTGAATGGACATTAACCTGGCAACTGTATTTATCTTAAATATTAATTGTGTGTGCATACCATCATAAAATTAAGATGTAATTTTTACATCAACATAGGTATCGTGTCGGAAAAAGTGGAGTTTGGGAGTCGGCCCAGTCTCTGTTTCAATTAATCCCATATGTTCTGTTATTCCATTTACGCGTTTCTCGTTTTACGCGCTACTCCTCGGGTTCAATTGACCGCGTAAATCAGGGTATTACTGTGTGTGTGTGTATATATATATATATATATATATATATATATATATATATA